CGCCTGCACGAGCAACTGCGTTTCCGTCTTTCTGTAGAGTTCGTGAGAAAGGGTGGAAAGGAGACGAGAGGCTGTAGGAATACATTGCCAATTCAACTCATTTCGACAATGTTCCCGCCGTTCTATTATATTTAAAGGACCTGTTGTTCTAACTGGGCGACTCAAGACCCCCCCCCCCCCCCATCCATTCTAAAAAAATACATTAAGAAACGCACAATTTTGGGGAATCTCTCTTCGTGTCTCTTTACCTGTCGTCCCTCTCGCGGTTCCGTCTTTGAAACATGGAGTATAGCTCACTTTTATGCATATCGTGTCGAGCACGGTACTCATTTCCGACAGGTGCGTAGCACTAAATTAACATTCTCTTTCTCGAACGAACAAAAATAAGGGAAGAAGAAACGCACTTTCGGGAAAAGAACAATGATTCTATCCATTCACATTCGCAAAAATTGGGTCCTTCTTCTTTGCACCTTCTTCTTTTCCAATCCTCCCTTCCAACAACCGCTTTCTTTTGTACGCAGTTTTCAGTGATACACGTCTGTGCAGCGCAGCCAGAGGGGAAGAGACAACGTGCAGCTCCGCATCTTGGTAGAGTTTCAGAACGGTATAGCGTTGAGCCTAAGTGGTATCCGGAAAACGGACCTCCGCTGCGGCACACTCCAGATACACAGAGCGGAACTAAGGAGTCCACTCTCGGCGGCGAGATAATGCAATTTGTCACCGAAGATAGCGTGGACAGTTCTCCTAAAGCACGAGCGCGCACAGCCGCAGCACGCCAAGAACAAATGAGAGAGAGAGAAAGAGGTGGGAGGGAAGGAGAGAGAGGGGCTTTACCCTGCTTGGTGTTCATAGAAAGAGACGGTCATAATCGAGTTACCCTTGGACAACACGAGGACGGACGGCTCTCTTTTCCTCTGCCACTCGTCGCGGTTCTATGCTTTGTTGCGTGCAGTCCATCACTCGCGCGTAAGTTCCGTGACTACAGGCGCAGTCTCGCTAACGAGTAACGTTCGTGTTGTGTAACTGAAGGGCATAGCCTAACAATTCTTGGCTAATCTGTAACCCGTAGTTGCATATGTTATATCTTTTTTTTTTTCACATTACAAGAACTTCTTGCTGCTCTAGTTTATACATAACTTTCCAATGTTTCTGTTTTTGCGAAAAAAACTCAGATGAACTTGCTCGGAACATAACGGAAGCCTTCTAGACCAGACAGAAAGACGAGATGCGTGTAAGTGGCATGTTAGTGTTTTTGTGCTTTTCGGTGTTTCAATGCAACACTTCCTTGCAGAATTGTTTTGCATGAAGAGTGGCAAAATGTAAATAAGGTAGAGTAGAGGTGTCATTGCCTCTCCCTATATTTGAGACAGAGCACATCAATCATCCATGGTCCCGTCAGATATACTGAGATGACAGGGTTCGAGTGATTATTGAAAGACTACAATGGAAGGACGACTTACATGTGCTGCGTTTGCCAGTGCCAAAGGCAGAAAGGTGACGGCGTTGGTCGAGACTGTATTGAACACATATGTCCGGATTAACGAAAAGCCTCAATTACATAATACAAAAACTTTTAAACAGTATAGTTGTGTTTTTATCAAAATTAGGAAATAATCCAAAACATGGGTCATGCAGTTTACAAAACAAACACGATAAAGTCGTGTCATGTGACCTGTTGCCCAAACTGCGCCTATTTAAATCAGAAACTGTTTCATCGTCACATTTGCACCCATGTCAATTTATTCTGTTTTTTTTTTTTTCGTGCGTCTGTGTTTGAGTTTGTTGATTGATATGTGTGATTTAACGTCGCAAAACCACCAACCATATGATTATGAGAGGCGCCGTATTGGAGGGCTCCGGAAATTTCGACCACCTAGGGTTCTGTAACGTGCACCCAAATTTGAGCACACTGCCCTACAGCATTTTCGCCTCCATCGAAAATATAGCCGCCGCAGCAGGGATTCGATGCCGCGACCTGCGGGTCGGCAGCCGAGTACATTAGCCACGAGACCGCCATGGCGGGGTTGTCTGAGTTTTTCAAGGTAAATATATTCTGAAGCTCAGAAACGTATAAGATGTGTATGCCCGAACCCGAGTGAACAGTCTGTGTAGTGTGTGTGTGTGTGTGTGTGTGTGTGTGTGTGTGTGTGTGTGTGTGTGTGTGTGTGTGTGTGTGTGTGTGTGTGTGTGTGTGTGTGTGTGTGTGTGTGTGTGTGTGAGAGAGAGAGAGAGTGAGTGAGAGAGAGAACTATATTTCCATTCATTTTGCTTACGTATGCTTCCTTGGGCACGTAATTCGTTGCCCAGACAACCGGTGGACAGTAAGAGGCTCAGAATGATTGCCAAGTGATGGGAAACGCAGTCGGAGAAAGCGCGGATAATTAGATGAAGCGACTAAGTTAATAAGTTCTCTGTGATCAAAACGATGAAACTCCACGCAATGCTAGTTCAAAAAGCACGCGAATAACGCGAGGCGTGCAGCTGCAGGCCTGCACATGCATAGGACGAGACGACAACCGCGGGGCACATCGCGAAGGAGTCAACGGGGCCGTCATCGGGACTTCTCTTTGCGCATTCACGGCGCATCGAGAATAGCGATCGTGAGCTGCGCGCCTCACATTCGATCGCAGACGATGCAACGCGCCATCCTCTACCAAGTGACCAGGATGTGCGAGCTGCCTTGGAAGGTCGCCAAGGCCGCCACCGATGCAGTGGATCGACTAGGAGGAGCGTTTCGCGATTGCACAGGCACTGCACATATGTACGCGGGCTCGCACAGTAATCGCGGTTGAAGAGTGATGACTCGCAGAGCTTGTATAAAGTATCACCCGACAAGGCGCGCCAGACGACGCCGCCGTCGCCACCGCCTTGACAGGATAATGGCTGACCTAGCTGTGGCCACTTGCTTGTACAGTATGTGTGCGTGCTGTATTTCCCCGCACTGTCGCTCGGCGGCGAGATGACATGCACCGATAACAGCGCCACCGCGGTGTCATGAAATGGTGTGCCCCCATATATCTCTCTCTTTCCCACTATAGCGATATTGTCGCGCGAAGTTGAGACGCACGAGGCGGAGAGTATGCCGTGCAGACTTCGTACACTGGTATAGCTGTCGCCGTAAATGTGCGTAAAGCCTAAACAGGCTTACGGCGGTCGGTGGAAAATGCTTGAGAGAAAGCAACGTGTCGTTAAACGGAGAGACAGAGAATTCCAAGTTTGTGCGACGCGTGTGACTCAGAAGTGAAGCATGTGGACGTCTATAGAGAAGAAAATTGAAATCGACGTTTGTTTATGTGTCACCCTGTATAACTGTAAATAAAAAAGAATATCCTCGAACTGCGGGACGAGTCTACAACCTGGAGAGGAAACATCACATATGCGCACTAGATACGCAGCACCCGTGTATTTGGACCTTGAAGTGACTCGTGGCGCAGCGGTGGCGTTCGTTGCCCTTGGAAACGGAACCGCCAGAGTTTAACCCTGTGAGGCTGCAATCTTGTCGGGCACCACTGCAGCTTATACACGACCCGTCTTGTGAAAACGTGTTTTTCGTTGGATAAACGAGAGGGAAAGCTCGGAGCAATCGGTGCCCTTCGCGCATAAAATGTTAAAGGTCGGCGCAAGAATGAATCATCGTCACTACACTGTCCGTTGTATAGACAGGTGCGCGCTTTAAGAAGAATAAGACGTAGCCGCGCGTGCGGCTTTGTGTTTGGCTTGCTTGAAACATGATTGTTCCAGAGAGAGCCCGGGATGTAACGCCGCTCTGACTTTGCCTCCATGGCGCTGTGTTTTATCTCTCTCTCATTCTTCGTTCCTTTGTTTGTTTTTTTTTCAATCCGGGGACAATAAACCTGTTACTGCGTTTTGTTGTTATTAGTAATGGGCATACGGGAGAGTATACGAAGCAGATCGTCCATAACTGTTTGACAGCTCGGGTCCTACGAAAGCCTGTTGTCTAAAATAATAATAATAATAATAATAATAATAATAAACGAAACTGTGAGCAAATGTGGTGCCGCTGTTATCTCATTTCGTCCCGCTGATTAAGATTCAGCTCACGCTTCCTACTCACGAGCGGTGCATCTAAGCAAACGCGACTACAGCGAAGATCAAACGCGTAGGCTGTTGGGTCCTCGATGAAATATCGCGAATGCCTGCCGAAGTACAGGCATCGCTTGGTTTCCGAGATAACTAATTATGTAATGTGTAATTCGAGTTATGACGTATACGCGGGCTCGATATTGTAATGAGAAGTTCGTGAGCACATGGCACGACATACAGTCGCAATCTTGTTTGCAGCTTGTTGCGTGTGTGAAGCGGCCGCTATGGCATATAACATTCGCAGGGGCAAGTGGTATCGTTAGTTATGTTGGATGCTATTATGTGTGATATAATTAAGTAAGGTGTGCATGATTTTTTTTTTTTTCTCCTCTGGCCTGTCGAACGATGTAGCTGTTATAGAATTATCTGGAGGCCTCTTGCGCTGGTATTTTCCTTTATTCTTGCTTGAGGTGACGTTAATAATAATGATGGTGATGTACTTATGCTTCAATACCTTACCACTGGTTTATGCTCTCATGGTGATCCTATTGAAGTTAGATTCCATACAGAGGATGCAAGCATCAATTGATCGAAACAGTTTATTATGGTGGCTCCATGGCCTCGCTCGTATGGGCCGAAGCTTATTCGAATTCAAATTGACGTGCTGTATACTTCGCCTGTGACTACAGTTGTTCGTAGTTTCACGTCCGCAGTTTCATGTCGGTCACGTGTGCGGGGCTTTTGCGTGACTTGGCCTTGAAACGCCCAAATCCCCAAATCCACATAACAGCAAAGCACATTTCCAAGTTGCTGAGCAATATGCAAAGCCTGATATGCATGTCACTGTGAGGTCTTACATATATATCAAATACGTGTTATATTGTCATCTTCTATGACCAATCCAGATAGTGTTCAGCGTGGTTTCATCTACTATTTCCTTTTATTGCTTCACGCAGGGAGCTCAAGGCCACGTCTGGTCAATGGATGCAGGACTTGTGCCGGCGGTCTAGCCGGCGCCGCAAGTTGAACGGACCTCCTGTCGCGGACGAGCTGGGCCGCGCCCTCCAATGCGCGCCGACACAACAGCGGCCTGACCATGCCGCCGGCCGAGCAGTCGAACACGCCAGCTCTTCTCGATCTGCCGCCCCGACGAACCGCCAGCAACCGCAACGACAGAGCGCCCAAGGAAACAGCGCGGGCGACTCGAATACGCCTCCCATGACCAAGACGACGCCCTTGGCGTCTCCTAACGCGCAGCGCGCCCCGCAAGCGCGACTCTCCGGTTCGCACTCCACCGGCGTCCCGCGGCCCGACTCCCCGCAGTCCGCGACCGGACACGACAGCCTGTCCTCGGACGTCTCGAGCGCCGCCGACTCTTCGGCCACGCCGTTTCCCGCCTCCTCCGCCAGCAAACCGACGTCCGAAGGCACTCCTCCCCTGTCTTCGACCGCCTGTCCGTCGCCCCCGGCGGGCGTCCGCTGGGCGCCACTGAGAGGACCCCTGAGGAACCCGATCCGCAAACTTCCTCGTCAGGGGTCATCCCTGTCGTCTTCTAGCGACAGCGCGTCCGCCGAAGGCGGCCCTCCCGGTGGCCGACCTTTCCATCATCGTCAACCGGCCCCGCCGTCGTCTTCGGCGACCACCACGGCCGCCGACGACTCCCCGCCGCCCGTGCCCTTTCCGCGCACCAAGCGGCAGAGCCCGCAGCGTCAGCTGCCGCCCCCGTCTTCGCCCAAGCTCCAGGAGAGCCCGTCACCTCCGACCCAGCAGAGGCAGCTCCTGGTGCCGGACTCGAAGCTCCCGCTGACGCCGTCGCTGTCGGCTCCGGCGTCGCCGGCGTTCCGCGATCGGTCGCGCAGCGCGCTCACGGTCACGTACAGCAGTCCTCCGAGCGTCCAGGACGACGGCCGAGGACATACCCTGCCCGCGCGCAAGGCGACGGCGCCCGAGCTGACCGGTCTGGAGCGCGCCAAGGAGGTCGCCTTCCGCAGGGTGACCCTGGGAAGCGTTCGAATGGAGAGCACTACGGGTGAGTTCACTCGCGCTGGTCGGGCCCACCCTTTTTTGCGATACAAGGTCTCGGTGCACCCCGCTGATCTCGTTTACTTTTTTGCCTCGGAGGTGCTCTGCACTCATTCTTGTTGCTCGTGATCCTGCGTGGTTTCGGCGTCGCCTGCTTCATATCGCGAGTGTTTTTACCATAGCGCACTAGAGGTAAATCTGGCGCTAGTGTCTATGGGAGCAGTCGGAGCCGCAACGCATGGCGCTTCGACGAGCATGGAAATGATGGCTCATTCATATATAATTCATGTATTCACAATTGATTCGTTCATTCGGCAGTGTGTGGTCTGCAGCCGCTGTATCGAAAAATGGAGTTCGGAAAAAGTTCAGCCGTCCTACTCCACCACTTCGGCGTTTATTAAGCTGACCACTTCAGCTCGGCTTCACGGGGTTCACTAAGTCATTCTATTATACAAAACAAAAGCCAAAATACACTCTATGAGCAAAGCCATAAGTTTGTTAGAAGTTGAAAGCATGAAGACTAGTGAAGTCCATCTATTACCCATCATTCCCATGGTGACCTAATGACCGCAGCGACGAAATTCTGTCTAGTAAAAACCGTAGGAAACTCCTTGGATTGCGTCTTTTACAACTGGATGTTCCATCCCGAATGAAGTACTGTAGCTACGGCAAGCGCTGCTATCCGACCTCGGCTGCAGAGAAAACTTGAGGCTACATAGACTGTCTGGCCAGCCCTTCGCTCTGTCATTTTTTTAGGCAGTCTTTATGAAGAGTTATCTGATGTTTCCTCAGTAACAGCCTATGTATGTCCATGCCGTTCTGCCCAATGTTTCGACAAGGAGACTTGTGTTCGTCTAGACCCGACGAGGACACTACCTCGCTTCGAAAACGTTGCCTTCAGCGACGCTGGCGTAGGGAAATAGGGGGTAGGGGGATTGACGTTTTACTGAACGCATTAACACATGAACAAAACGCAGAAACTTTACATAATTCGTATCGTTCATGCTCTTGGTTTTCTAAACTTTTATTTAGTGAGTCATCGCGCTTTAGAAGTCCATTTCTGAGATAATACGTCGGGGGAAGAGGAGCGGGTGAAGGGGGGGGGCAGTGGGAAATTTAGCAAGGGTCATTTCTTTGAGCATAGCTAAATCTAGGTATTTATGTAAACATAGAAATAGTCTTTAGAAGGTACCATTGTGAGCTGTTCAGCATGTCAGACTAGGACACGTGCTGAACAGTGGGGGACGCTAAATTGACGTGTCAGCAGACTGCACAAGTCTTCTTGAAGGGACGTTCCCCGGATCGCGTTGCGTTATACAACGCAAAGAACGTACATGATGCGCTGCAAATATTGCCCGGGATGACATTTAGACGCGATGAATATTATACTTCTTACGGCGTAGATAATAATCTTTTCAGTGGTTAAAAAACAAGTTTTAGTAAGCACCAGCGATATAGGTCAAGAACACGTTCCTCAGAAGCCAGGCCCTGCGCTTTTACTCCCGCGCACTATCCTCCTCTCCCGGCCGTGTGTAGTCGTGCACCCACGTTACTTTCTCGTATGGCTTCTCGCTGCCAACCGCTATCCCCATACACACGCCCTGTACATTTTCTGTGCGCAAATGTACACCTGTCGTGATTGTGTTGGCCGCCTCATGCATATGTGGTCGCTTCGTTTTCAGTGCGTGACCCGTCGTGCACCTGTTTTCGTTTTCGACCCCCGCGACGTCCATTCCTTCCCACCCGTTCTATTCTCTCTCTCTCTCTTGCACTCTTGCTCTTTTTCACAAGCTCTTCGACGCGTTAAATGTTATACCTTTCTCTGCTCGTGCCACGAAGCTGTTGTCTTTATCTCAGCGCGTTTGTGCGTCACGCATATTATTACTTTGTGTGAGTGTGCGTGCGTGCGAACGCGCGCGCGCGCGCGCGCGTGTGTGTGTGTGTGTGTTTGTGTTTGTGTGTGTGTGTGTGTGTGTGTGTGTGTGTGTGTGTGTGTGTGTGTACGTGTGTGTGTCACGCATATTCTTTGCCGGGCCCGAAAATAATCGATCGCTAATCATTCATTAATGCTAGAAACAATCAAGTTGTGACTGAGAAAACGGCACGAAACTACTTGGAAGCGCACATGAGCGAGACGGTGTATTCACCTTTTCATAAACGCCTCCCTGGGCGCCGCCATAGCCCTCCTTGGGCTGTGCAAATTGGCGCGTACCCTCGAAAATGCACTGGAAACGCTGCGCCCTTAGCCTTTGTACTCCCGCGCACAGCCCATCATGGCGGTGTTTTTTTTCCTTCCCGTGAAAAGGTGTATAGAGGGATACGAAAACAAGCGCAGACTTAAGCTTCCACTTATTCGCAGGATATATGTATATCGAGAGATCAACCAGAAGTAACTATAGCTTAGTGGCTGTGTTTTAATACTATCAAATAGGGATAAGCAGTCGGGACGTTTCGTCGAAGGAGGAGGGAAGCAATGTGGCATTTTTTTTTTTTAGGCTATGAGATCATTTACTGATCTCGAATCATTTTCCAAGTGTCAAGGTGGTCGTAATGATCCTTTTAGATTGGTTTTGCCTCGACGATCTCCACAAGGAGACAATGATCAAGGAGAAACCAGGGCCACATTAAGAAAGAAAGAAAGAAAGGAAGGAAGAAAGAAACAAGGAAAGAAAAAAGAAGAAAGAAAGAAAGAAAGAAAGAAAGAAAGAAAGAAAGAAAGAAAGAAAGAAAGAAAGTTCTCGAGTGCTAGTCAGTCTTACCATTACCATAAACGCAATAAACCAGAAGTAGTATTCTGTCACGTCAAAGATTTTAGCAGTGTTTGCCCGGAGGTTGAACATCATGTTTATCGACGCATAAGAATGGCGCTTTTTTTTTTTGAGCCAGAGACTGAACTTGTCAACTGGTGCGACATTTTATTAGATTGATTGATTGATTGATTGATTGATTGATTGATTGATTGATTGATTGATATGCTGGGTTTAACGTCCCAAAATCACCATGTGCTTATGAGAGACGCCGTAGTGGAGGGCTCCGGAAATTTCGACCACCTGAGGTTCTTTAACGTGCACCCGAATCTGAGCGCACGGGCCTACAACATTTCCGCCTCCATCGGAAATGCAGTCTCCGCAGCCGGGATTCGATCGCGCGACCTGCGGGTCAGCAGCCGAGTACCTTAGCCTCTAGACCACAGCGACGGGGCGGCATTTTATTAAGGGCGAATCACTTCTAGGGTCGCACAATGTCCATCGGTGCCCCGGCGTGCTCAGTGAAAGCACAGGGGTGAAACATCTGTGTGCAAAACCTTACGTTCTACCGTCCGTCCTTCCATCGGTCCATCCTTTATACTACTCAGCAACTTCAACAGACATTATGGACCTAGTTTCGCCCGCTCGTCATTATTCACTTCGAGTAGAATCGTAGATTTTCGCTTAGAAAACAATGAACATGGATAGGCGAGGACATTGGAAAAATGTTGTGACGTCATACCTTCTTGTTGACGCCAAGGTTTGGGCGCATCATTCTCAAGACGTAACCTTCGCCTCATCTTCTGTTCTCTATAGAAATCAATCATGTTCCGTTGAGTCGATGCGAAGATAATATTATAGAGTAACACGGGGTAGTTAATTATTTTAAGTAGCGTTTTTTTTTTCGTTCGTGTCCCGAGCTTGAACAAATTCTCATGTTTCTTGTAACTAGCTGATAACCTTACTCCTCTTTCTTTAACAATCGGAGCTTATTTTTCATCTGTCAGCGGGAAGTTGTTTACCCCTTGTATCGCTGAAAGCAAAAATATGCGCTATCTATTCTTTCGTGTGTAAAGCAAGCATACTCCCAAGTTCTTTGTCTGTGTGGACAGCCACTGCCCTCGCAGTCAAGCATGTTTTTACGCAGTGAAGCCGCTGGACGCGAGTTCCGCGCACTATTGTGCCAGCACTATTATAGTTTCGCCAGCATTCTTTTTCCGGAGAGAGGATTTAGAAAGAGCAGGAGAGGAGGAGGAGGTCTTTACACCACACTTCGTGTAGTATGTTCTTGAGCGTGTTTTAAGGCATGCGTGTTTTGTACACACATTCGAAATCAAACAATAACTGAATGAATGAGAGGGGGGGGGGGGGGTGGAGCCCTTGACCCTCGTAACGTGCTCGCGCAAAATATCGGGAGGTCTTTTTGGCCCCTCCATTCGGGGGCTCCGTTGGTGACGCACAAGCGACCGAACTAGCCGTATGGCTGCGTGAAGTCACAAGAATTTCGTGCCGTAGTCCCACGTCACGCTATCGGCATGTTATTGATGAGAGCGAACGGACAATGATGCGAAGGAAAGTTTGCGTAAAGTTTACGTAAAAGTTTGCGTAAAGTGGCCGCCGGCAGGGACCCAAACTACGACCTTTGAATAACGCGCCCGATGCCACTGAGCTACGGCGGTGGTCATCTCCTAGACGACATCATAGGGTATATATGGGAATTGAGACGTGGGAGCGTCAAGCACCGCCGCCAGGCCATGACGGTGACTGTGGAACACTCCATATTTTTGTCTGCTGGTGTCAAGTTAGCAAGCGATCTTCTTACGTGCTGGCAGCTGACCAATAATCTGTCGCATACTACCTGAAGGCATCAAGTCTGCCAGAGACTCCCGCTGTGATTGAAGGAAAGAAGTGTAAAGGGCTAGTTTTTTTTTCTTTAGACACAATCTTGTTGAGAATTAACACACAATGATGCCAAAGAAAGTGCGCGGGATGTTATTACAAATAATTGTAATGTTTAATTGTGAAGAAGTCCCTGCCGGCGGAAGGTCATCTTTCCGGGTCCACTTTTTTTAAAAGCATGAATCATGAATCTCGTGAGGAATTCCCTATCTTCACACCTATTTGTTCGTCTCTGAACACAGATGATTTCTATAGCGTAGCAGCCTTAGCTTCAAAAAATTTGTTGAGCTACCCGTGTAACAGTAGAACTTGTTTTTCAAGGCTATACCCGTTCTTCGGGTTCGTCTACACACTGACGTCG